TAACATTTTCAATCGTGTATACACACATAATATTAGCATGGTTTATACAGTTATTATAATATTATTAAAATGTTATATTTTTCAATTTGAAGAGAATCAAACATCAACATAAATAGAGAAAGTTTTAGAAAAGAAAAAATCGTACTAAATTATTACGATATAAAATCGGATTCAAAAACCAAATTTTATAATGTATTGTTTTTTGTTAATGAAATTGTAGGTTGACAGAAAAAAAGAGTCGTAAATGAATTTTTTGTTAATTTTATTAATAAAATAAGAATTAATGTCAACAAATAAAAACAAAAGAAAAGATATTATTTTATATAAAAAAAATTGAATTAAAATTTAAATTGAACATCATTAGCAATTTTTAAGAAGAATTTAAAAAAATGCCACTTTTTAAGTGTCACTTTACAAAATGCCACAATTTTGAAATCTTTACAAAAATGCCACTTTTCGAAATTATTTTTTCTTTATATTATTTATGTTTGGGTTAATTATGTTCTATTAGGGTTTAGTTATGAGGGTTTAGGGAGGTTCAGGGGTCAAAAATTTTTTTAGTGTTTAGAACTTTAAGATATAGGGTTTAAAAATCTATAAATAGTGGCATTTTTTTTTAATTTATTTGATTTTAAAAAAATATTTAGCATCGTATAACGCGAGAAGTCATTTAGTGTTATACATAAAAAGAAATAGATCATTCATTAATAAAATTCACAGAATATAGAAGACATCTTCTTTGACACAAATCTTTAACTTTTATATCTGAATCAATATTCACTACGGTTTCCTAAAAAAAATGGTTGGTTGTCTTTTTGCATCAAATACATCTGTAAAAATCTACTGATCATACAAGTTATAATATGCTTTGCTTCTACTAAGACATCTACATCATCTCAATAGAGGTGTTAGAATGCATTTTTTTTTTAATTTCATTGGAACCTTGAATCATAAGGAGTGAATAATCGATGTTTGATTGTATTTTTGTCTAACTCTATATTTTAAATCAATTCATTGCTAATTTGCTAGATTTACAATTTGTGATGGAGTAAAGTTTTCCATCGAAAGTCTTGGTTAGAAATTTTATTTTGTCCAACACAAATTGTTTCAATTGCATTACAGGATGATTGATAAATTGACTTTAAAAGCTATGCAAGCATTTAAAAACGTTTAAATTCTAAATTTTTCCGATTATATTTGTTTGATTTAACGACCCTGAAAATCCTAAAATCATTTTTTAACTAATTTTATCACTTCATCTTTTTTTTGGTTCATGGTATCCTTCTTTTTAATAAAACTATTCTTTTGTGATCTTTTTTTTTTAATTTTAAAATCGCAATTACCTATGTAAAAGGCAACAAAAATTACATGTTTTTTTTGGTATAGGATGTTATTGGATTTGATAAATAAAATATTTATTTTTTATACATAAATTTACATAAAAGTATTTTTATATAAAAGTTACATAAATGTACACAAAATATTTAATTGTAACTTGTTAGAATTAATTTACATAAGAATTAGCTATTAAATTGTTAGAATTAATTGTTATAGTTATTAAAAGACACTTAATTTCTCTTTTTTTTTAATAAATAATTTAAAAAGACAAATGTCAAAAAGTTAGATGGCATATGGAAGTTTGTCATGGCTTGAACTTTAAAAAACCTATTTATATTATATAAGATATACTATTTTTTTTACTAAAAACACACATACTACAAATTATATAGGGGCAATTAC